AACAATTCAGGTTGCTATTTTTATTTCTAAACATGCAAAATATAATAGGGATGAATGAACTTAATTCAGGGACAAATTTGTAAAATTACAGAGATATTACTTTAGTTTCATGCTTATTTATATCCTTGTTTCAATAATATTTCATTATTATTTGAATTAAGCTTCTGTATTTATCCAAGTTTTGTTAACAAAAGACTTTGAGGAAGTTTTGCGTTCCAAAATGTAGGTCTTTTCTTTTTTTTTCTTTTTTGTTTTACCAAAAATAAATTCCTGAAAAGTTAAGTTTATTGTATAGAACTAATATTAGTATTAGAAGATGTGAAATTCCTCATATATTGCAAGCATTAAATAAATACCTTTCTAAATAACTCTTTTAATTTTTTAAGGGTCTAGTTGAAAATTACAAAGTAGAAATATAAAGTGTGGAGCACATTCTTCCAGGCTTCATGGGCTTGTATAAAAAGAAACCATGTGGTTTATTTATTCCTTGGAAAACAACTACAAACTGTTTTTTATTAAGCCTCATAATGTATCTCTCATCTACTTCTTTCAATGTGTGTAATAGCTATAGGGGATTTTCTCTTCTGCAACAACCCCTATGTTTTTAATGAAGAATATTTTCCTATCCCCACTTCCCTTTTCCCTATCCTTTTTCTTTCCTGGAGATTTATTTGTTGCTGTATAAACTGCTTTGGGCAAGTTTCATTGTATTAATTCAGATTCTACAACACAGGTGGCAGCACCTAGCCAATTTTGGCTGATGTTGAAAGAAAAAATAGTAAGATTGCACCTGGCTAGTACTTAGGAGGATACTACCAGGAAATCTCAGGGCTGTAGGCAGGAGGCCAAAACTGGGGAGTGCGGGGGATTCTTGAAGAGACAATGATAAAGCACCTTGGTATTTTTGTCAAGACGACCAGATGATCATGTCCGTGTAAAGCCAAGATGTGAGAAATATTCACTCCTATTGTACTTACATTCTGCCCCCCCACTCCCAAATCAAAATGTCCTAGGAAAAACAGTCATCCTTTTAACTTACAAAACTGTAACACTGACTTTTCTAATTTTGGAAAAAAAATAATTGAGTTGATTTCAACTAGTATCAGGCAAAAAAACAAAAACCCATATCAACCAAAATATAGTCATATATACACTGCTCAAAAAAATAAAGGGAACCACAAGCAGAAGACATCCGAGATCTGAATGAATGAAATAGCCTTATTAAATACTTTGTTCGTTACATACAGTAGTTTTGTGTTCCCTTTAGTTGTTTGAGCAGTGTATAAACTACGGTATGTAAAGAACGAAGTATTTAATAAGGCTATTTCATTCATTCAGATCTCGGATGTCTTCTGCTTGTGTTCCCTTTATTCTTTTGAGCAGTATATTACACAGTACAGTACTAACAATTGTTGCTAATGAGATGCTTTTGATCTGGCAATTTTTCCATGCACTGATGTAATTGTTTTTACAAGATAAGGCCTGGATTAGTGAGATTAAATATTAAATTGTTAGATAACATAGTATATATGTAATTCTGCGTCATGCTGTATGGTATCAAATCACACCCTCAAGAACTCTATGATTGGGACTGATGTTTTTTATTTAGCATATTATCTAATATTTAATAATTCTTGCTTACAGGTTGATACAACCTAAAGAACTCAGTCATATTAATGTTTGAAGCCACTCAAATTCTCAGTAATTCTAACGAGAAACACTGGAGTTTCCCAGTCTAGGAATTGCTGTACCAATGCATTTGGAAGGTACCAAGTTGGGACCAGCTATAGAACAGGGGTCCCCAACCCCAGGGCCATGGATCAGTACTGATCTGTGACCTATTAGGATCTGGGCCGCACAGAGGCAAGCGGTAGAGTGAGTGAGCAAAGCTTCATCTGTACTTGCAGCTGTTCCCCAGTACTAGCATTACCCCCTCAGCTCCACCTTAGATCATCAGGCATTAGATTCTCATAGAAGCGCGAACCCTACTGAAAACTGTGCCTGCGAGGGATCTAGGTTGTGTGCTTGTCCTCCTCCTCCTTCTCCAGTCGATGGAAAAATTGTCTTCTATGAAACCAGTCCTAGTACCAAAAAGGTTGGGGGCCGCTGTGATAGAAAACCAGGACAAAATGAATGCAGCTTTGTTATGTGTTGCATTTTATCATGCATATTCCCAGTAACTTATTATTAAAATTCATTCTTATGACCTCCTTGATTGAATAGCAAACCATATCTTCAAATAAAGAGCATATATTACTCTATAAAGCTGGAAGCCTATTCACAAAAAAATGGAACAAGTCTAGTTGAATGGAATAGGATTATTTTTCTGAATTTAACGTCCCTAGGACACGGTTGTGCACTTAACAGAAAGTGGCATTTAACTTCTAATTAAAAAAACAATGCATAAGGTCACCTTGCACAGAAAACTGAAATAACTACTGTATCATGTGATACATGTAAAATTATCTGACTAAACCTACCAGTATTAAGCGATCCAGTTTGGTGTAGTAGTTAAAGGAAAAAGCTTAAGGCAGCAGGCTAGAAACTGGGAGACTGAGTTCTAGCCTTATCTTAAGCATGAAACTAGTTGCATATCTGGGCTAGTCACTCCTTCTCAGCCCAAGAAAGGCAAAGGCAAACCCTTTCCAAAAAATTTGGCCAAGCAAAACACATGGACAAATCACCAAGAATCAAGACTGACTTAAATGTATAAAAAAACAATCTCCCTCCCACACATACTTAACTACGTACTGTAGTACAGCCATTTGACGTAACACAGTACCTTTCCAGTGATAATTTTAACTTTATCACAGCTGATATACTTGCTTTTCTGTAACTATTCAGTTAAAAGCATTTGGTTTTATTAAATTATTGTGGAACAATATTCATTTTTTGTATTAACCCTCCCCTTTTTTTCTTTTTCTGCCAAGTCACTCTTGATTCCCAGCAACTACCCGGACAAGTCCTTGTCCCTGCAGTTTTCATGGCAACGTTTTTCAGAAGCAATTTGCCATTGCCTCCTTCCTAGAGCTGAGTGAGAGTAACTGGCTTACGGTCACCCAGCTGATTTTGGGCCTAAAGTAGGACTGGAACTCACAATTTCCCAGTTTCTAACCTGGTGCATTAACCATATAACTGGTTTTCCCAACATTTTCTATCCCTGCATAATTTATAACATTTTATATCCTATACTTTCAATAAAAGCCATTTCAGAATAATTGGCATGCTGATTATTTTAGAATCGGTTCCATTTTTAATAGTCATGGATGGAAAAGAAATATAAAATGTTGAGTATGGGAAACCTAAAGATGGTTCTCAAGGACGATTTAACTTTTAATATTTTTTTTTAAAAATGAATGTATTCTATATAATAGAGACTTAAAAGAATATAATTAATTTGGTACTAAGTTACTGTCTTGGAAATTTTGGCTGACCTCAGTATTTGCTGATAGCTCATAAGGTAATGTGAATTTTTTGCTATTGAGACATGCAACCACCACAAAGAAATATGTGCACTTCTAGGCAAAATCAACACAAAAAGGCAATGTACAAATTTTTGGCATTTGTGTACTGACATCTGTATGTAAAATTATAGTTAGAGTGTTTCACCTCTTATGTTCTTTTAGTGATTTTGATCACCCTAGCTACAATGGCAGGGTATAAGTGCTTCATTTAGCATTCTCAAACTGTTTTATTTCTTTTGTGATATGTACCTTTTCTAACTGCTGTTTGACTTGCCTCCTCTAGGCAGTTCAGATATAAGTACCACTTGCTCTCAAATCAGAATAGAATTGGATGGGGCCTTGGAGGTCTTCTAGTCCAACCCCTGCTCAAGTAGGTGATCCTATACAATTTCAAATGACTGGCCACTCTCTTCTTAAAAAGCACCCACAGCTTCTGAAGGCAAGCTGTTCCACTGGTTAATTGTTCTGTTAGGAAGTTTCTCCTTAATTCCCGGTTTCTTCTCTCCTTGATTAGTTTCCATCTTGTTTCTTGTCTTGCCTTCTGGTGCTTTGGAAAATAAGCTGAATCTTCTTTGTGGCAGCCTCTCACATACTGGAATACCCCTATCATGTCACCCAGAGTCCTTTACTGTCGACTGGCCATACCCCGTTCCTGCAACCCTTCTTTACACGGTTTAGTCCCCAGACCTTTAATCCTCTTAGTTGCTCTTCTCTGCACCTTTTCCAATGTCTCAACATCTTTTTTGTAATGTGGTGGGTCACAGAGGAAGAGATAGGGAGACCCGTTGTGTTTTAAGGAGTGGGTTAGTGGCTGAAATCGACTGAATTGGACACGGTTTTGTCGAAATACACTTTCATTGAACTGCAAGACAGAGAAGCCGCCTCAAGGCGAAGATGGACTGAATGAATGGCCATTCGCAGGGCCGGATTTTCCTATAGGCTAACTAGGCTTCAGCCTAGGGCCTCAAGATCAAGAGGGGGCCTCAAGATCAAGAGGGGCCTACATTCAAATTGTTAGCAAAATTAAAATTACACTTTCACTATAGGTGAAAGGGCCTCATAAGTGGAATAGCCTAGGGCCTCTTTTCATCTAAATCCGGCCCTGGCCATTCGCCATAACATGCTTAAGGACGCAGCAATTCTATAGGCTTCCCTCGGCCGAGATACCTGCAAATGATCAATGGTCACAAAATTGCCCCCCCCTCCCCAAATACGGCCTGGAACTGTGAACAATGCTTGGCTTTTCAGCCGAATGTGTCTGGCCCCAAGGGCGCCCATTCCTCCCTCACCCTTGGAGAATAGCTTTCTAAGGTACCGGAGGTTGCCCCCCGCCCCCCCTTCCCCAACGAAGTCGACCTTCCCGCAGCCAGCGAGCCTGCCTGCCCGCCTCCCCTCGCGCGCATTGTGACGACACAATCGCCTCTGCTTTTGCCCCTTCGCTTCAGCGCAGCGGTCCCGCCTTACGTTCATGCCAGGCGGCAGGCAGGCGGCTGCCAACTTTCAAACAATGCGTGCACGGCGGACTCCACCCCGGCTGGGCGGAGAAAAGGGTTGGGCTGTCAGCCCTCAGCCAACCCTTCAGAGGAGGCGGCCCCGGCCACGGGGGAGCTGCTGGCTGCCGGGGCTGCATTCAGTGCCGCTCCGGGTTCTGGGCAGGGAAACACCGAGCGAAGGAGCAGCCCAGCCGGGAACCGCCGGTGGCTCACTCCGTCCCTGGGGCCGTCAATGGCCCTGATTCAGAGCGCGGTGCAGCTCCGACAGCGTCGTACTCGGCAACCTCCCTCTGAGCGGCGTGAGTGAATGAGGAGGGAGCGATGGGCAACACAGCGCACAAGAGCTTGGCAGGTACTTGGGGCGGGGCGTCGAACAGCGCCTCGGTCAGTCCCTGCGGAGGTCGCACTGGACCAGGAAACGGCTCCGGGAAAGTCCTTTTCCCCTCCCGAGACAAGGATGCTTCCCTTTGGCTGCTAAAGGCTGAGCTGTTCTCTGGCGTCCGCTGGGGTTAAGGGCGGATTGTGGTCCCCCGCTCTCTTTTCTCCTGGGTGAACGGAGCTACCAGCTCCCTGCAAGCCTCTGTCAATACAGGGGATTTTTTTTATTTTTAATTTTTTTGCATTGTCCTTGTCACGCTGGCCGCGCGTCGTTGCAGTTCTCCTGGTGGTGCAAATAGCGGCGTTTTCTGGTCTCTCTGTGTGTGTGTGTGTGTGTGTCTTTGTGCCCCGCCTTTTTTTTTCTTTGTAGCACGTGTTGCTTTCGGTCCTCCAGTTAGAGACTGGACTGCTAACTGTCAGAAATGGTGTAGGTAGGGTCTCCTGCTTAGGCGCAGGAGGGGGTGGGTGGGGGTTGGACTAGAGGACCTTCCAACTCTTGTTATTCTGATAAATTAAAATCCTGTGGCCAGAGAAGAAGATTGTGTTGGCTACATCCTTGATTGAAATAAGCTGTCAAAAGTGGATGGTGTGGCTTTTATAGGCTTAGGTTAGGCTATAAGGGAGCAGTAGAGCAGGTAATTTATTTCTATGTATTTATTTCTATGTATTTCCCCGTGTTTTTCTTTCTTTCTCCCAAAGCTTTGAAGCTTTTTTGTTTTTAAAACCTGTTTCAATTAAATTCCTCCTCCCGAATTTAAACGTTATTTCAGGAAATTGAGTTAAATTAGCAGCATTTAGAGACCTCTGTAGTTTATCATTCTCTCCTGTGTCCATGAATAAAATTGCACGAAGTACTCCATCGTGCCTCATGCAATCTATCTTAAGATTTAAACCCTTGCAGGTGTATCTAGAGCGAAACCCCAGAAAGCAGGAATAATGGTAGTCAAGGAGTAGGTTGGATGCTTCTTGCTAATAGCTTTTCAGCTTTCAGACCATGAAGGATTCTTGCTTTTGATTTTGAAAAGCTGCTTCCTTTCAAACAGATAATGGTGAAAAATGGGTAGGTGATTTGATGTCAGCAAAGCTTCATCTTTTCCTGGTTAAGAAAAAAAAAACCTCTTTAAATTCATTTTGACTTGAAAAGGAGAACCGACACTAGTTTTTATGAGAATATGTATATCAATCCCAAATTAACATGGGCTAGCCGCTAGTGTGTAAAATGATACTTACCGGTATTCATGATGTCCTCTTCAAAGACTGTCATCTTTAGCAGGCTTTCATGGAAATAAGCTCCCTGATAAATCATTGTGGTTGGCAGATAAATGTGCTTGAATTGACACAGAGGGTTGGGTAGTGTGCACAGTTGGCAGATTAAACATGTACAAGAGGACAGATGCTGGAACTGGTGGCTTTTGTTCAGCAGCCAAGAGACAGACTGGCAGCAGAAATGGCCAATTTTAGACAGAAAAGGCTCCCTTGGAAAGTAGGGTTTTGTCCTTCCTTTTAAACCTTTGTGTCTCTGTAATAGAATGAACCATGCATTTTTAAAACACAAGCATGTTCAGGGTGCCATGTGCTCCCCACCCCCCAGCCATTAAAATAAAGACAATGAACTTTAGGAGCAGCTGGGAAGCATTTTGATTCCCTGAAACCCCCTCTCCCAAAAGAAGGCAGAAGGAGTTTTTCTTACAAGAACACTCCAAAGGCACATTTGCAGCTGAATGGAAAAGACACTCATTGCTATTATGAAAGCTGAATCTTATTTTTCTTTTGAAAACTCTATATGGGTCATTATAGGAGAAAATAATAATGAAATATGTTTATAAATCTGGTGCAGTCCATGTCTTGGTTTAAAATACATGGCTCACACAGCTCATATTGTTCTGTGTTAATGGAAAATGAGTTCTGATTTATGCTTACAAATAGGTAATTGAGATCCCTCCCTTCGTTCATCTCAATGGGTAACATGAACAGTTGTTGATGAAGAATTAACAGTATTGGATTACTGCTTTGAGGTTCGGTGAGCTTGTCCCCTTTTCTTTCCAGCTGCTGGTCTCAATCATTGTTCCTCTTGCTGTTTTTCCTTAAGCACATTCAGGATATTTGGATTATGTACTCAAACTGCAGGCAAATTGCCAAATTATGGTTACCCCGCAAAGCAATTATGAAGGACTCCTGCTGCATGATGGGGCCCAAAGTTTAATATCTCTTTATGGCATGGGAAACTTTGGTGGCTTTAGAGTGCTGGAATTGGAACAGTACCTGTCTCTAGTCTAACATTTACTTGACATTTATTTTTGTTACTTCTTTCTTATCCTTAGGGTTTGAATTACACATCCAAATAAATTGCAGTCACACCCTTCATTCTGCCAGGGGATGTTACTGGATGTCATTCACTCATACAGTAGTTGTATAATTGAAATGTGGTTTAAATTTTGAATTAACTCTTGATTTGGAGATGCATGAAACACTGAGATAAATTTCTGAAACTGCACCCTGTAGATGCCCACAGTCTGTGTGCATTACAGTAATGTATGCAATTTGGACAGGTTATTAGTTCTTAATCCAGCCCTACTTTATAATATGGTTGGGAAGACAGGACAGGTAAAGGACGTTCTATCTTATCCTGATCTCGTTACAGAAAGCAAAGGACAGGAGTCTTACAAAGGAATAGATAAAAAGTGACCCATTCTTGCTAACTAAACCATCCATATGGATTTTTTCAGATTATTGTACAAATACAGAAATAAGAGCAATCTTGGACAACACTGATTTTATAAACAGGCTTAATATTAACATGTCCACCACTTGAATGAGCTGTAGGAAATTCAGTTCACTGAGCATTTTGGTATGTCCATTAGCAATATAAGAACAGGCAAATAACACTATAAATGTGAATATGCCAGTGCTACACAGAGTGATATGCTATCACATCACACAACTTCAAAAGAGTGGTGGGAGAGCAAGAATGAAAAACAAGTTTTCAAACCTTTAATGTGGGAAACAAGGAGTTTCTACACACAACATATGAAGAAGGTTAAAAGGTTAATAAAGCTACTTTTCTCATTTTGCTATGTTTCCTTGCTTATCTTTACAAAATCAGCTTTAAAGAGCAACCTGCATGAATATTAAAGTTAATAACTGATAGTTTAAACATTCTTGACTCAAAGGACTCTAAGCTCTTATCTAGCAAGTATCTTTTTGTGAATCTACATCTTATATATCATAAGAATTTGAACAACTTGAACATATTATGATAAAATTATAATTTTATAATTGTAATTATAAAAACCTATTAAGGGTAAGAGTTACAGTGCGTTTAGATTTCATTCTGAATTTCACTGCCATATATATTATGTATAATACTTTGCAGTCAGGTTGAATGGAGACCTCAGTATCTGAGTTGTAGAAGTGTTTAAATCTGTTCACCATTTTATTGGATGGTATGTTTTAATGTACTAGACTATTTTGTATTATATAGGTTTTTTGTTTTTTATATACTCTTCAGAGTCACATAATGACTTGGGCAGCCATATAAATACATAAATGCACAGATCAACAAATAATGTTCATACTTGAAAATATCCATTGACTTTAACTTTCATTTTTAACCTGCTCTGATACCATTTATTAATAATGCTGAAAAAATGTACATGTGTGTTTTTAAATAGATTTGCAGAATTCTTAGTATGTTTCACCAAAACATTTGCATTGGAGTAGGACAGTTAATGTTTATGAAATAAATTCCTAGATTTTGCATAATTAAATTCTTAGCCCTTTTGAAATTGCAGGGAGATAAAGAAAAGCATATAAAAAAAGATTTCAAATGAAAAAGAGTATTTGAATTGCATTAACTTAATATATTTCTTACAATTCTGGTTTTGACAGTTTTATAAGATTCTAGACAATCTGTGACTTGTTGGGTCAAGGCTGACAGTATGATGTAAGCTTCTCATGTTCACGTATTAGAAGATTCCAGGGACCATTATAAATGAGGATCACACGTTATTTAAGAGATATGCCTTACCTGAACAGGGAGACACAGGTAGGCAAAAAGTATTTGGGAGTAGCAGTGACTTCCAATTTCCTGTCATCTTCCTCATTGAATTTCCTTGTGGGACGCTGGCAACGAGCATCAGAAATTCCATTTCCCTTCTCTTCCCTTCCCTTCCCACAGGAAGGGAAGAAGCAAGGAATTACTCAAGTGACTGGAAATTTAAAACAAGGATCATGTGATTGTAGCAGCAGCCTGGCAGCACTGAACCAACCACAACTTCCCCAAATTTCATTCCCTCACGAATAACTGCTCCCAGTGTTTTGTAAGTTAGCCTAGTTGAGGAACCTATGGTGACAAAGTTTTGTCCTATGGTGTACCATTTTACTGAAAGATTACAGACACAAGAGTTTAATAGTAATATAGATGGCATATGCATCCCACATTCTCTAGATAAGCAAACCCCCGCACACATGTACACATGGTATAGGTAATGTTGATGCTCCATATGACATGTGCTTTTTCATTCAAATGGCATCTTTGTATTTTTACAGTTGCTGGAGTGTTAGAAATTCTTCTGTGCATCTTTAAATTCTTGGACCAGCTCCCATATGAAGATGCCAAGGGTGTTTAGAATGACTGTGCAACAATTCTAGAATCCTTGGGAGTGTTCAGTATCACATAACAAAGGGTGAAGAGCTCTTTTGGTAGATGCTCTTTTTTGCTTAAAGAAACAAATATCTCTCTTGCCCTAGTTGACTAAAGAGACAACTATTGTATAAAAGCATGGAAGATACAATCAAATAGTAGACTAGCATTTAAGCAGAATGATTAATCTATGCTTTACAGGTATTTGCTGAATTTATTTTATTTTTTTAAAACTTGACTTGAAAAGCCGAAGTTGATACTTCTGTTCTAATTGCATGCAGAGAAAACCCAGATATTGTACATTATTCTCACTGACATCATAGAGAAAGTCC